AGCGCCTGCCTGGACGCGCGCATTTTTGGAGTCGTTGCTTTTGACTGTATCCTGGACTTCAGCTCGAAATTTACCTTTCTTGGATTGGCCATTCTCTCGCATTTGGACCCTCTAACTTCCACTTCACGATATCGTGGCGTTTGGGTGGACCCTGTATGCAGGAGACATGTCCAGAAAGGGTCGAGGCCTTATCCATGCGGCCTTCAGTACCACACGGTGGTGACACTCCATGTGGGTGTCAATCATCGGAGTGGATGTTGTCCATTTCTTGGCTTTGTTGGCGCGGTGGGCGACCTCGGGGACTTTGCATATTCGCCTAGCCTAGTAATCTGGTGTGGCTTGAAGCGTTGTTCATGCGTACAGTACGCGGGGCTTGCCGCCTCGTAGACGAGCGCCATATAAACGGCGAATAACATGAGGCCATTCGTTGAAGTTCAGCCTCTTAGAAAGGTAGGTACCCTAGACATCCGCAACAAACGTTCGCAAAACGTTGTTGTGTTCTTCGAAGCCATGCGTGCGTCTAACGGGTGTAGTAGCGACACTCGCCCGGCGCAGAGGTCTGAGGATGTACTCTTCATGGTGCGCATGAACACCAACGTGTCTTGCTGTTGGATTGAACTTGACAGGTACCGCTTTTCGCATTCTCGCGTACAGTCCCATTTCGAGGGGCTCGGCTGTTTACCAGCTGCCATCTTGGCATCCTCAGCCTTGCGCCACCAATAGCGTAGCGCTGACGGCCTCTGCCGATAGGCTCGCTCGGACACTCCCTTCAGCTCTCGAAATTGCGTTTACCGCTTCCGACCAAAGCTGAAAAGCGCCAAGCGCAGAACCGCTGGCCCGTGGCCGCATGCTTCCGTATATCACACCACGAGAGCGATGCTAGGCAGATTCTCGCTTGACAGGGTGCGCGGTTACGGTTTCGTCGAAACCTGTGGCGCTGATGTTACCCGCATGGTTGACCGGGGCTGATAAACGGGCAGTGCAATCGGACGGACGCCCTCGTGTTGCCGCTATCAGTAGAGTATTCATGCGACGCAGGCAAGTGCTGGAGCATTGAGAGATATCTGCAAGTCATAGTATTCGCACTTCTACTGTCGCATTTGACCGCAATGAAACCAATCAAGAAGACGACTTTGTGTCGGCAACTGAATGCTGATCGCCAACCCTTTGACGAGTTCCGGAGGAGAGCTGTGGCAGCTGCGGTGAATCATCCAGACGTCGCTGGCATAACACTAGACCTTTGCGAATGGCTTGATAACGCTGATGAAGGAATTGAAGAACTTGGTCTGAAATCCGTACCAGATCTCGAGTCAGCGAGTAAAGGGATGGTTCGCGTGATGTGAGTACCTCCGTCAGAAGCACCCGAGATGCTTATAATCATAGAATTGCGCCCCGCGACACACCAACACCAGGAGCAGATACGCTGGTGGAGCTTTTCGATTCCTGCAATATTCCAAGCGCCTTTGTGGACGAGAGCCTCCGAGACGTTTCTCAATCGTTCGCAGCGCGCGAAGACGCCGATGGCACGACGTGGATCTGGTTCCACCTCTTGTGTAAAACGTTAGCAGTGATCGATAACAAGATCGCCCCGGGCCCAGGTTTCGTGGAGGCTGAGGGCAAAGAAGCTAAGAGTCGACAGGCGGCGCGAGCTCAAAGCCAGGCGAACTTTTCCTGGATCAAGACAGGCATCGTGTTGAAGATCCGGAAACAATCAGACGACCCGCCTCCGCCTGTACGAACATCGAGTTCTGACAGCGATAAGACGTTGGCTCCTAGCCCGACCAAAGCCGCGGTAGAGCTGATATGTTTCGGCGCACCCAGTACCCTACGGGGCCGAATTCGGGCACTGACGAAGACGACATCGTGCGAGGCATTGCTGGAAGATCCGCATATGCTGCTCGAGCTCGTGTTCGAGGAGATGTACAAGCTCCTAGACTGGACGGCCTGGGCTGTGTCGGATACGTTCGGGCCTTTGGAAACAGTGCGTGCGCTCCTTGTTCGATCAAGTGTCATGCTAATGTGCTGTCAGCAAACTTTAGGGATAGCCAGTAGGGTTGGAAAGGCGACAGAGGAACTGCCGAAGGACCTCTTCACTGGGCTCCACAACCTGGCCAAGCATGCCATATACCTCCACGAGAACTGTGAAGCAGCATTAGCCACACTAAACGATCTGTATACCCATCATACAGCGCTGATGGGCACTGAGCCAAATACCTTACAGAGACAAACCAAAGAAGCACTCAAATATCGACAGACTCTATTCGAATCGACGCAGCGACGGCTGACAAGTCTCAATGCGCGGATCTCAAACATTATCGGCTTGTCGTTCAACATCGTCACCCAGGGCGATAGCAAGTTGATGCAGTCGGAGAACCAGAGTATGAAGACAATCGCCGTCATGACGCTATGGTTCATGCCGCTAGGCACGGTAGCTTCCATCTTCGGTAGCCAGTTCATGAAGCTGCAGGATGAGTGGCCGCATCATATCACCGTTTCGCAGGACTTTTGGCTGTTGTGGGGTATGTGAACTGCCACGACCTGCTCGTAAGACGCGCGCTGATCCTTTGTCGCAGTCATCGCGGTTCCTTTGACCCTCGCGGTCCTGTTGAGTGAGTGCGATCCGGATCCGAGGCTGCTGAAGACGTGCGCTGACCCAACCGGCAGTTTGGCGGGTGTGGTACATGGACGCAAGGCACAGATTGATAGACGGAGTGGAAAAGAAGCAGGGTGAGCATGGCTATATGGGATGGAAGACGTTGCCTCAGACGTTGCGCAGAGGAAGGGCGAGAAAGAGCGTGCCCGATGTGTGAGCCCTGGGTTCACGGTCGATGATGTCATCAGGGCGCAGCGACCTCGGCAGCTTCCGCCGCGGCTCGAATTGGAGATCCATCATGACCTTCTTGCCATTCCTCCCAACTGAGCCAACGCGCAGTAATGTAGCAGGTCCTTCGTACATCATGAATAATTCCATACAACATGCTCATCACAACCCCCCTCACATCATCCCATGATCCACCCCCAACCCCAACCCCACCATCGCCTCCCCCTCCCTCTGCGCAATATCCACCTCCCCACTAACCTCAATAAAGTCCTCCAACTCCTCACTCGTAGTCTTCAACTTCTCCTTCACAGCCGTCACACCCTCCGTACCCACAATATGCCTTGCAGGAGGATTATCATGCCCCCCAATCGCCGTAAGCGCATGAACAGTCTCCGCAATCAAATTGCTCTTAACCCCCACCGGCAGCGGCGCATACAAACTCGTCACCGTATCTGAACTCAGTAGATCGCCCATGGTGGGCTCCGCGTCTGGGTTGGTGTCAGACGTTACGCTTTCGTTGCCGGGGGATTTTGTTGCGTTTGTTGCGTTTTCGTCGAAGGGGGGATGGGCAGACGGGTTGTCGATTCTTTCTAGTTTGTCGAGGAGGCCGGAGAAGATTTCGCGGGCTAGGGGCGCGGGGTTCTCGCCTTGCAGGTATTCGGACATGGGGGGCACGGAGGTTATTCGGTTGGTGAGGACGTTGACTTCCATGTTGGCTTGGACGAGGGACATTTTTACGTTGAAGGGGGCGATTTCGTAGGCGAGGGACTGGTGGGTGTTAGATGATGGGGTAGTGAGGGTTGCGGGTGGTGCTTGAGTACATCGCAGTAGCCTTCGACGGCCCATTGGGAGGAGCAGTACATGCCTAAGCCTGGGGTTCCAAGGTGGCCAGCTGAAAGGGTGAGGTCAGTCAAGGATGGCTTAAATAGTGATGGTGACTCACTGATACCGGTTATCACGATGATGTGGCCATTCTTGCGTTCGCGCATGATCGGAAGTACGGCTTTGATGATATTGACATTCGCGAAGAAGTTGATCTCGAAGATCTCATCGACCAGGCTTCTGGTGCGGCTGGTCTGCGCGAGTTCCTCTACTGAGCCGATCACAGCTGTACATGAACTGTCAGTTTCATTTTGTCAAGCAGGGCAAGGTCACAACCTTCACTAGCAGCGCACAACAACACGTCGATGCGCCCAAAAGCCTCGACAGCCTCAGCAACAGCTGCTTGACATTGACCAACTACCCTGCATGGAGAGACCCGTTAGCAACGCGCAACACTTCATCTCGTTCGCGGCATCGGACACTCACCTACTATCCAACCCAACAACCCTCAAGTGCTCGCGCCATCGGTCCGTCTGTTTCACATCCTCCAAAAACGTCCGAAAATCCTCACTCTGCCCTTCTCTTTTCTCAAACTCCAGCGGCATAACACCCGCGACAACATAATCGCCATGTTCGAGCACCTGTCGCGCTAACGCGATGGCAATAGGCGATGCGCCTCTTGTGATGAACCAAACGCGCGGAGCATTGTGGGGCGGGAAATGCGGCGACTTTGGCCGTGGCGGCTTCGACGACGCAGATAATGGCGCATTGCTTGTCATGTCGGGGTCGGAAGGAATGGTGTGTACTTCATGTTGGCTGGCGCGTGTTCGTGCTGCGGCGATGGGATGCGCGGTGGAGACCGGGTATGTGGGGCACCTGCATGGAGGGCGCAACGCCGCTAGTGGTGAGCCTTACATAGCGTGGCCGAAAATGACTGAACGAGCAAAAACACCATCACGACTGTGCCAAGACTTGGGGATATTGCGCATTTTACAGTCAGAGCAACCTGAGTCTTAGAAGGATATACCTAGAGATACTGGAGATCTCTTCGCTGTTGTCGTTCTGACATCCAGCCTCAATCTACCTCCTGCACACCCACAAAAGACGCCCTTTCACCTTCACTTCAGGTATGTCAACTCAGTCGTCATCGGCCGGCCATGTACCAGCCTCCTCGATTAAAACTCTTCTCGTTACTCCCAGCCCCCTGCCGCACAGATGAAGCAGAGTCTTCAGCTCCTTCAGTCTCAAATCTTTCTCTCCAACCTACACTCAACTGCTACACTCCATTTCCACAACTCTCAGTGAATTCCCCAAAAGCACATCTTTCCATACATTCAAGGACCTCACCTCCTAAACCATGAGTCTGCTACTAGACCAGTTCACCAACCACTGGACTGACCAGTTTCCGGACTACAGCAATCAAACCACCTACACTCTGCCTTCAGACGGCACTGTCCAGTTTGATCTGGCAAAGTGGTTGGCGAACGCCCAGGAAGAGCTACAGATCGAAGAAGCTCGCTGGCTCGCAGACGACTTCGACATCAACGAGCCTGCTCCGAGACCGGTCAAGATCCGAGCTAGGGACTCTGCGCAGTGGATCAAGAAAGACAACCGCAACTTCACTGGCCGTCGCAAGCGTAGACGTGAACTCCCTGTTCCGCGCGCCTTCAACAAGCCGTTCTCCCTCATGCAGCACCAACGCCACTCCATCCACCTCATGGGCAGGGTGCTCAACGTCCGCACCAATGGATCGCCCTTCACGCTCGTCCTTGATGACCTCAACCAGCGTGCCGACATCTTTATTAGCGAGATCACCCGCCGCGCCCTCTCTCGCAACGTCAACGTCGTCTTCGTCACATTCGAGTCTGGCCAGGCCATGGCACCGATCCGCACCGTCCAGGGCTTCGGCATGACGAGCGACGAGATCCTGAAGGCTTTGCGCAAGGCCATGGATGATGCCAAGGAGAGCATCGTCGTCATCGACAACCTCCACGAGCTCCTCTACACTTACGGCGTCGACATGACCGCGCTCTTCCAGCTCGTCGTCCACAAGTACGCTTCCACCCTCGTCGGCATCTACCACCAAGACCTGCTCGACAACCCAACCGAGTCACCATACGCCCCACAACCCCTGGAGCTGATCAAATACATGGCCACCTCCATCATAACCTGCAAGTCCTTCGCGCACTGCCTCGCCGCCAAAGCCGCCGCAGAGCGCAGCCTCCCCGAGCCCACCTGGGGCATGCTGGAAGCCGCCGAAGGAATCATCCAAGACCTCGACGCCAACGACAACCGCGGTATAGTCATGGAAGCGGAGTTCCGCCGCAAGTCCGGCAAGCCAGAGGGTGAAACCTACTTCCTCCGCACTCCTCGCCCGGAAGACTACCACGACCCCATGCCCGGCATCCCCAACGGCACTCTCAAGCAGGAGTACGTCATCCTCCTCGATATGCAGCCCGCATACGCCGGTAACGTGTCTGGTCTTATTCAAGATGCCGCTGAGAACCCCAACTCAACTTTCAACCTTGCTCTCACGGAGAAGCAGAAGCAGGCGCGTGAGGAGGTCGTGCTGCCTTACTTTGATGCGCAGAAGGGTGAGGGTGCTGGTGAGGGTGGGCGTATCTTGTATGACATGGGCTCTGAAGATGACTTTGACGAGGAGGAGGATGAGATCTGAGTGCGTTTCCTTGGTCGTTGGGTTGAGGATGAGGCGCTGGTCGCAGGTTTGAATGCAGCTTCTGAGATACCCTGTCTGGTAGGGCCACGGCGTTACGGCGATCATTGATGGAAAGGCGAGATGCGCTATGCGCAGGTAACGAGACATGGGCGGATTGCGAGATAGCTTTCTGCCTTGAATTGGGAGACGGTCTCACGGACGGATGGTGTTGCGTCTTCTCAAGATGCAGCAATCGTGGATGACGAATAACATGATAAAATCAATCGATACTGCGCTTTACTTGACATCAGTGAAGTGATACTCAGCCTACTAACCTAGCTCTTCGACCTCCACGCATCGTGATTGAGCCTCGCGCACAGCACCTGCACCATGGTAGGGCTGAACCCTCAGCCTTGGCGCCCAAACTCCCCCAACTCACCAAATAATTCCCTTGCGCCAACCACCCCCACACCCCCCACAACCCACTCCACACCATGGCCGACAACGAGCGACCACGCGCAGCCTACAGCGACCCCTTCGAGCGCGACACCCGGCGCGCACCCCGCGAAAGCCGCGATCGAGGCGGCACACCCACCGAGCGCCGCGGCAACCGCTCACGCAGTCCGCAAGAGCGCGGCGCCGGCCGACGCGACAACCGGTACCGCTCGAGATCGCCCTTCCGCAAAGACGAGCGCGACGGTGGAGTCAGGGGAGGAAGAGGACGGGGACGTGGTCACGACCGCGGACGGGGCCGCGACGACAGGAGAGGAGGTGGAGGTGGACGAGACGAGCGCCCCGGGGGCAACTTCCGCGATCGCTCGCCCCAGCCGCCTAAAGGGCCACGCAGCGATCATGCGCCTCCTGCTCGCAGTGCCCGACCTCCCCCAACCGGTCCCCGTTCCTCCACCGGCGACCCTACCAATATCAAGAAGGAAGAAGAAGCCACACCCGACGTCGAGATGAAAGATGAGCGCCAGAAACCAGAAGACATGGACGACGACGAGTGGGAGATGCTGAAGATCATGGGGTTCGGCGGGTTCAAAAGCACGAAGAACACAAAGGTACCCGGGAACGATAAGAATTTTGGGGTGAGGAAGGATAAGCAGTTGCAGGCTAGGCAGTATATGAATCGGCAGGGTGGATTTAATAGGCCGTTGAGTCCTGGTAGGAGTTGAGGAGGCGGATAGAGAGTGAGAGTAACATCCACGAAATGAGGGATGGAGGCATCATGAGTACATTGCAGAGTATCTGTGCATGGATTGGCAATACTAGGGCGGGTTGCGACACCCTTTGTCGTCCATCTGAGCCAGTACTTCGTAGGGCATGAGGCAGTCGTGCCGATGCGTGTGACAGACCTGCTTCGGGTTGCCATGGAAGGGTCTGCATACATCACAACGCAGCTCATGGTATGACGCCTTCTCTTCTCTTCTACCCTATATCGGTTTCCTTAGGTCTAACCGAAGCAAAGGAATTTGGCATGCATCAAACCTAGCTGTGGGTAATAGGTACATCAATCGAGGGAATATTGGGGACATTCGAGCTCGTTAGATTGAGATAACTACGATACCATTGTTCCACGCAGTTACTACCCTCCCCAGTGATATGTTCGAACACGAATTCACTTGCTTGCTAAAATGCCGTAGTTGAAGACATTTCGCATGCCCAGACGAACATATTCGGAAGGCGCCTCCACCTCGGCCAATCAACGCCCGAGGAAGTTGCGGATGCTCCGCGAAATGTGTCCCAATCCCCCGCAAAGCTCGAGCTCGAGCTGCCAGCTTCACTCAACACCATGACGCGCGAATCACGGCATGGCACCCTGTGGAAGGGGCTCACATGCCTTTTCGCCCTCCAATTGCCCCTCGTGAGCGCGCAGGTCGCCGAGATCGAGAAAGCCACCAATGCGAGCTTGCTATGGGGACCCTACCGTCCAAACCTCTACTTCGGCGTCCGGCCGCGCATTCCCAAGAGCTTGATGGGCGGTCTGATGTGGACGCGCGTTGAGGACTACCAAAGCGTGCAGCATAGTGGGTCTGCAATTCCAGGCTTGAACAAATCCCATTGCTGACAATGTAGACTTCCGACACACGTGCGAGCAGCACGAGCTCGATGGCTACGGCTGGGACGAATACGACGTGCGCAGCGGCGGCCGACAGACGATTCACGACCCTGCAAATAAGATTGACATCACCACCGAGTTCATCAAATTCCCTGGCGGAGAGCATGGCGGCAGCTGGGGCGCGAGGATCAAAGGCACGCCACGAGAAGACGCTGGCCCGAATCTACGCACGACTGTCGTCTGGTACAACACGCTCGCTGGATTCGGCAACTTGGGCATTGAAGGTGCTGATCCCGACGAGCCTGGCATCGAGGGCGATGTGGTCCTGAAGGGGCAGACGAAGGAATTGGGCGAGTTCGAGCTCACTGTCACCAAGGGCACGGGCGAACATCCCATCACTGGACACCCAAGCTACGAGGAGAAGCCTTTGGATCGGACACTGGCGCACAGCGGACAGGTGCCTGAGGATGCGCTGTGGCAGGTCAAGGCCATGATGTTCGCGCACATGAAGGGCCAAATCGACGTCCTGGTCCCCAAGTACGGCGAGGACAACCCACCACCGCCTGCACAGGTCTACACCATCCAGCATCTGCCGGGCAAGGGCAACATGCACCTGGTTCAGAAGGTCTTTGAGGGCCCCTTTGAGTTCGACATCATCTTCTCATCTGCATCGGCGCCCGAGAAGATCACATCCGAGCATCTCACCGAGCAGATCGATTCAGTCACTTCTAGCTTCTCGACTCGCTTCACGGATATCTTCAAGCCCCAGACGCCATTTGTCAAGGAGCGCTACGAAGAGTTTGGCAAGTCGCTCTTCTCGAACCTTATCGGCGGCATCGGCTACTTCTTCGGTGACTCTCGTGTTGATCGATCCTACGACCCCGCCTACGAAGAGGATAGCGAAGGCTTCTGGGAGGAGGCGGCTGAAGCGCGAGCCAGGAACCCAGCTCAGCTCGAAGGGCCGTCCGAGTTGTTCACTGCCATCCCATCGCGACCCTTCTTCCCTCGTGGTTTCCTTTGGGATGAGGGCTTCCATCTGCTACCTGTTATCGACTGGGATGCAGACCTGACGCTTGACATTATTAAGAGCTGGTTCAAGCTGATGGATGACGATGGCTGGATCGGACGCGAACAGATCCTCGGTCCTGAAGCTCGCAGCAAAGTGCCGGAGGAGTTCCAAATTCAATACCCTCACTACGCTAACCCGCCTACACTCTTCATGGTCATCACGTCTTTCCTCGACAAGCTCGATGCTATGAAGACCGACACTAGTAGCGAGAAACTGCAGCAGCAGAAGTCTTACTCAATGCAACTCTCGAACCGCGAAGCCGCCCTAGAGTACCTCCGTTCGCTCTACCCACTCCTCAAGCGCAACTACTTCTGGTACCGCAAGACCCAGGCTGGCGATATTAAAAGCTACGATCGAGAGGCCTTCTCCACCAAAGAGGGCTACAGGTGGCGCGGACGTACGCCTTCACACATCCTCACTTCAGGTCTTGACGACTACCCTCGCGCTCAGCCACCACACCCTGGTGAGCTACACGTTGATCTGATCAGCTGGATGGGTATGATGACTCGCGCAATCAAGCGCATCGCAATCTACCTCGACGAGCAAGAAGACGCCGCCGAATTCGCACGCTATGACGAAGCGATTGTTCGCAACATCGACGACCTCCACTGGTCAAAGAAGGACAAGACCTACTGCGACGCCACCATCGACGACTACGAAGAGCACTCGCTAGTCTGCCACAAAGGTTACATCTCCCTGTTCCCCTTCCTGACAGGCTTAGTCGACAAGGACAGCGATAGACTAGGCGCTATACTCGACCTGATAGAGGACGAAGAGGAGCTCTGGAGCCCTTACGGCATCAGGAGTCTAAGCAAGAGCGACGAGTTCTACCACACCGCGGAGGACTACTGGCGCGGTCCCGTTTGGATGCCTATCAACTACCTCGCCGTCTCCCAATTACTCGTAAGTCTCCCGAACCTTTCCCTTCTTATCATGCAAGTATACTAATTGCGCGGTTCTAGAACGTCGCAACATCACCGGGTCCCCACCGCGCTCGCGCAACCAAGATATACACTGAACTCCGCAAGAACTTAGTCAACACTGTGTACGAGAGCTGGAAGGAGACGGGCTTTGCTTGGGAGCAATACAACCCTGAGACTGGCAAGGGGCAGAGGACGCAGCATTTCACTGGCTGGACTAGTTTGGTCGTTAAGATTATGGCTATGCCGGATTTGAGTGGAGGGGAGGAGCAGGTCAGGGATGAGTTGTAGATGGGTGTGGAATGGGGAGATGGGGTACCAAGGGAGGTGTGACTGAGGTCATGCCGTGGGTATGAATGAATCGACCAGGTAACGCGGTCAACACGACTGCTCACGCATCGCGCGCATGTCTAGAACCCTTCAATTCTACGTCCAACTGTGGAGGCTCCATGCCTAATTCGTTGAGACTGGGCAATTAACTGCTTGTACTTTGAGTGACGCCACGATCGCCATGGACGTCTAAGAACGAATGTTGACCTCGCGTACTGCGGTCGCTGTTCGATCGACCAAGGCATCTCGTTCTTCATAATGCAGCTGGCGTGCGGCGAGGTCTAAGTTAAGCCGGAAGAGCAAAAAGAAAAGTGATCTTACAGATTCTGCGCAAGGCAGGCTTTGTAGCCGGTGGCGCAATACATACATGAACGCTACCAACGCGTACAGAAGCACTCATCTTCAGAAGCCCACTAGTCGACTACGAGATAGTCTGTGGTGTATCTCGCAGGCAGATCTAGAGTGCACGTCAACGCCGTGCAGAACACATTGGAGTGGCGACGGCATGCTTTCCTGTCGTGGAGAATTGCGCTTGCTTTTTACCGGTGTATCTGCGAGAACAGCGGCCCGCAGCGACGTGCATCCGCCATGCACAGCCAGCTCCGATGTTTTGCAGGCGCTGTCGTTTGTGGTGGTGTGGATTGTCGTCCTTGGCGCGAGAGCGGGAAGGATCGCCCCACCTTTGCACTCGGCAAGACCGAACCGCAGTTCTCCGTCGGGCCAGGGAGTCCTTCCGACCACTTCATCGCTCAAGAATATAGACTTCACTTCCAGGCCGCCCCCAGGACTGAGCCCTCTTGTTGCCAGACATCAACATCAGTGCTTCAAAGAATGAGAGGTGGTCCCCGAGCTCCGATTGCATCGTGCATGACAGCTTCGTATATGCGAGCTTTCGGCATCGGCCCGTTGCGCAGTCCGCAGATTAAGCTGCAGCCACTTCATCGACCCATTGTCCTAATTTCGTAAGCCACGTCCGGGCCAAGCGGCGTCGTTAACGTCCTTAACAGCGTCGAGGGTTCTATCATGATAGGTACTGACTCATGCGAACGAACTAGCATTGGCGTTGATTGAACGGTGTGCGTCATGTCAGGCGCCTGCACAACACGTATAACTTCGGGATGATTGCGCATACGATTCTTAAGTCATCGCTGGAAACTAGTAGACCATCTTGGGAGTGCCTAGTAAGCGACTGGAGAGGACGGAAACTGTGTCGTCACTACGTACCTGCTCGAGGCTGCATGAAGTTGCGGTCAGCATCTCAAGCGACGCGAAGGTCGAGGGCAAAGACGAGACCAATCATGTTTCAACACAAGAGGCTTCAGCGCAATCCAGCATAGCATGCGATGGTGTGGTGTAGGGAAGGTCTCACGGACGGCTGCCGATGTCGCGATAGCAATATTTTCCATTGTGCGCATCAGTGCGAAGCCGACTCAAGAGTCCATTAGGGGCATAGTAGCAACACTACAGCGATTCCTACACCACCACGGCCTACTAGGTCTTGAGCTAGGACTTTCGTTGCCGGGCGCGCAGTGAAGCCGGTTGTTCGCTCCCGTCTTCGAGCAACCAGGACCGCTGCAGCAACTAATGAGCCGACATGCGAAATCGCATCAGAAGTTACCAATCGAGCTGACCGGTTTGAAAGCTTAGAAAAAGCATCGCGAGCTAGTTCTGAAACGGAAAAAGGGACTGTTAATGCGACGAGCCCTCTAGGTACCTTCAGGGTACATAAAGTACTGCAACTTCAGTACAGAGTCCTTATCCGCTCCAGGTCATTCTCGCTCAGCTCCTGAAGTGTCAAATCCAAAACGACTAAGGTCTTCTTCTCGATTTCATCACTACCCAATTCAAGCCATTCAAGATGACTTCCTCCGACGGCATCCCACCCCCAGAAGTCCGCACCCGCATCCTCAACATGTCCTCGCGACGGGCCCTCATAAGCAACGAGCGCGGTACCAACCATCTGAGCCACTACGACAGCACAGTAACCTACGACGACCACTACTGGTACATCAAGCCGGGCAAAGACGAGAACGCCGGCCTCTACCTCATCGTAAGCGCCTACACGGGCCGCGCCCTCTGGGCAAACCACCGCAACGGCGCAAACGGCGGAAACGGCGAGGTAGGCACCTGCAACCCGCCAGGTTCATACCCAGACCAATACTTCGACCTCGCACAGACCCAAGGCACGGGCGTGCGAAACAAGCAGTTCCGTCTGCACTCCCCTGCGGGAAATGGCAATGTCTTCTCGAGGACTCATAGAAAGCCTGAACTAGGTTGTTTGTCGGACTCGGACAAGATCTACGACGACCACTGGTTCACGTTCGAGATGGAGCCGTTGAAGTTCGTCAGGATCGACTATGACGAGCAGCATCCGGAGATCCTCACGTCGCCCCGCCCCAAGGAAATAGCCCAGCAAACAGCGATGAACCATTTGGATATTGAGACGACGCAGGAAGTGACGATTAGCAAGGAGACGGAAATCCAGTCGACCTTCACTTCGGAGGTTGGGCTTTCTGTCACGGCTTCGGTCGAGTTCAGTTGCGGGGTGCCGCTGATTGCGGAGGGCAAGGTGGGCCTTAGTACGACGCTAGATACGAGGATGTCGTGGGGCACTACGAATATCACGAAGCAGAAGTGGGAGGCGAAGGTGGTGCTCAAGTGCCCGCCCAAGTCGGCTACGATTTGCACGGCTTCGGTGGTGGAGACTAGGTTTCGCATGCCGTTTGTGTCATACTGGAAGACGGAGGAGGGGGGGAAGGAAGTGAAGCTCAAGGGCGTTTATGAGGGGCAGAGTTGTGCTAGTTTGAGCACTGTGTCTTCGTATGGCGACTACGTGGCCGAGAAGAAGAAGGCCGAGAACAAGTGATAGTTCATTGTATGCGAGGGGTGGTATAAGAAGGCTTCTAGGGTAGGAAATCAAGGACACTCATTTGCAACGTAGCATTATGCATCACCCTCACGTACCTTACACATGCCCATAACCTAGTCACACCTCCCTTTGTATTCCGTCTCCACACCCCAAGCCCATCTACAACTCGTCCCTAACCAGAACGGCTCGGTAAGCATAACCGCCACAGTCAGCGGGAGGTATGCATAGGGCAAGACGACTATCACGAGGCAGAAGTGGGAAGTTAAGATGCCCCTAAGATGTCCACCTAAGTCTAAGTTTAAGGCCGTTACTACGGTGGTGGAAACAAGGATGCGCATGGCTTTTGTGTCGTACTAGAAGACGAAGTCCGGTAAAGAAGTTCAATTGAACGGAACTTACGAAGGGCAGAACTGTGTTGGCTTGCATACAGAAGTTCCGCAGACGAAGTACGAAGACCCTGAGAAGGACGGAAAGCCCAAGGGGCTGTTCTGAGCCAAGGGGTCATTCTACCCCATTCGATAGCCAGACTTGTACCCTTACGAAGGGTCTCACAGTAGAACTTTAATAACACATTCATTTTGCGACGTGGCGCTACGTCTTGCGCAAGTGTGATATTAATTGCGAAGTCTACATTGTGCTTGTCGTTCTGTTCTATGTGAGCGTAGTTCGCTCGTCGGAAGACGCGCACGAGCGGGGTTTGTGTAATGTCGCGTCAAGTGGTCATCTATCGCCAGCGGATTGTCTTATCGTGATAGCTATTGCAGCAGCTCGAGACTTGTCGATCGATCGGTACGAACGGAAGATGATATGGAGTATCGTCGGCGGGTGTTAAGTAGCACGTGGTGGTGAGGTATAGAATGTATTAGGGACGACCTGCAACTACTAATAACTCCTAGGAATTCTCCTCTAGCCTCTGTGGCCCGACCTGCAAGACTTCTCATCCAAAGGGGGGGATGGAACAAGGAGGCGCTATGCACCCCCGATCTCTCCCGCTTCCTCCGCTTCAAACCTACATGCCAGGAGTGAAGGCGTACTTCTCAAAGTCAGAGGGAACATCTGTGTTGTCGTTCCAAGCCATGTCCATCAACGCGTCCGCATCCGCCTGGTCGATTCCCTTGACCTGGTAGTGCTTTCCGCCAAGGTACACGCCATAGGGCTCAGTGGAACCAGTGCACTTCCAAACATCATCAGCGGCATCAGCCTGCCTCTTGGAGTTGGAGTCGCTGCCGTCCGAACCAGGCTCGGTCCAGCTGAAACCGTGGAAGTTGCCACCAGTGATGCAAGTCGAAGTCTCAGTGATGCGAAGCTTCTGGTCGATATTACCGCACTGGAGCAGGCCATCGTCGTTGGACTCGGGGCCCTCGTCCCAGGCAATGAATCGCTTCTCGCCACATTCTTGTACTGCAGATGGTGTGTTAGTACGATGTGGCTTTTGCGTGAGGTTAGAGCATGTGTAGACGTACCTTCGAGCTTGCCGGACTGGACGGTGGTTACGCCCTTGGCGATGGCATCGGCAATGTCAGTTGCGTTTGCTGTGATGGACACGGCGCAGATGTTGTGGTCGATGTCCTTGAAGAAGAAGGCACATCCGGAGCATCCGGGCTTGGTGTAGGTGTAGATGTTGTCAGCTGCGACAAGGCTGCTGAGGGTGCCAACAGCGGCGATGGTAGAGAGAGCGAAACGCATGGTGAATTGAGTTGATTGTTTGAGTGAGTGAATTGAGGCGTTGAGTGTTCGTTGCGGGTCTGTAGTGATGGAAGCGAAGGAACTGTGAGTTGCACCGATGTCAACATGGGCGACATGATGGCTTATATGGTTGTCGTGCCATCTTCACGATGCCATGCCCGCGGTTGATGCCGGCTACACCGTGCTGGCCGCTAGTAAGCACCGGATTACCACCTGAACTTTACCATCACACCATCCAACATCGCAGAAGGTTCTGATGAAGCGGGAGATTTGTACCGACACTTCACCCCGACCTGTAGAGTATTGCGATCGAATGAGCGGTGCACCCACGAGCGCGGTCTTGGTGTACTGGTCTGATGACATCAGCACCGGCTTACGACCTAGACCTTGGTATTGGGATCCCAAAATCAGACATTGCGGGGCAGATCCGCAGCATCGAAATTGTGATCTTCTCGGTCATGCGATTGTTGCGCATGTTGGCCATCGCATGTGGTCGCGATGAAGTTGGGAATTGGAGGGGCGCTACGACACCGACTTGCGCTCGATACTTTCGCGTGTGCTGCACTAGAACTCAACGAAACCTTCGAGAAGCAGCAATCCGGTGAGCGATGCGGTGAAAGAACATGCGCGATGCGATGCATGTACACGGCGAGTACGTTGATGGTGGTTGTAAGGAATTGTACTGGCATTAGCCTGAGGAAACTGCTCGGCGCTCTACATTAAGTGGCGTCGCGTCGCGTCTGCCGAGCAGCTCCGGGTCTTGATGAAGGTGAGATCTAGAAATGCTACGGGCTTATGACGGATGCTCTTTCTGCTGCGCCTTGTTCTTGGGTACATCGCCCGATCGCGACCATCGCAATTACCTGAAGCTCACCTCGAGGCAATTCTACATTGTAATGCTATGCCGTATATGACATTCCGATGCTTCCGACTTCGGCACCACCCTACGGAAACCTTCACGAGACCCTTCTTTGTTATCCTATTGGTACGGAACGATATGAAGACCCTCATGACTGTTTCCACAGCCCGTAATACCGCCCTTTCTTCTTGCACAACTCTTCGTGCGTCCCCCTCTCCACGATACTCCCCTCGTGCAGCACCAAGATGGAGCTCGCATCTACAATCGTACTCAGCCGATGGGCGATGACAATTACAATCCTTCCTTCTTTGAGCTTCTCGAGTGCTGCCTTGATATGCCTCTCTGTCACTGTGTCTACCGCACTCGTCGCCTCATCCAGCAGAACAATCGGTGCGTCCTTGAGAAGCGCCCTCGCAATCGCAAGTCTTTGCGCCTCGCCACCCGACAGCTTGACACCGCGCTCGCCGACGTGCGTATTGTAGGCCTTAGGATAGCGCATGATGGTGTCGTGAATCGCGGCTGCACGACACACTTCGTAAACCTCTTCGTCGGTCGCGCTGTCGCGTGCGTATCGCACGTTCTCCATGATTGAGGTGTTGAAGAACGTGGGTGCCTGCGGAACCACGCTTACGGCGTCGCGAAGTGAACTCAATGTAACGTGTCGGATGTTCTGCTTGGCGATGGTAATGCTACCGGATGTGACGTCGTGCAGGCGTAGAAGGAGTTTTAGAATCGACGATTTGCCGGCCCCGGTTTGGCCTACGAGAGCGATGGTCTGACCCGGCGACGCCGTGAACGATACATCCCGAAGTGCGTAGCGGCTGGAGTCGTACTTGAAGGACACGTCTTCGAATCGGACTTCGCCATCCTGTACCGCGAGCGGGTAGGCTTCGGGTGCGTCGGTGACTGTTGGCTGGGTTTGCAGAAGGTGAAGAACTCGTTCCGCGTCCACAAAGTCACGCACCAGCCACCGGACATGATCGGTCAAGAATTTCAGCGGGTAGATGATGGAGTCCCAGTATGTGAGAAAGAAGACGAAGTCTCCCGGGGATGCCGTGCCCGCAGCAATGCGCTGGAGGATGAGGTAAGCCAGGGCGAAGAAGGTAGTCGGTACTAGCAGCTCAACAACAGCCTTGATCAGCGCTTCTCGTACTTCGAAACGTGTCCTTGCCCTCATGTGGTCGCCTACAGCACTTGAGAGTAAACTGGCCTCCCTCTTGAACTGGTTGAAGTACGCCACAGTTTGCCAACCTTGAATCGCTTGGTGCATCTTCCGTATCTGGATCCGCTCAGCCTTCGTCACTCTTCTCCGGAGGCCGGTTGTGAACCGTGAAGACAAGGCTTCGGCAGCCAGGAAGGCGATTGATGCGCCAAGCAGGACCATGCCCACCGCCGGAGTGAACTTCTGGTAGAAGATGGTACAAGCAACGATGACGTCGATCAAGGTTGGCAAAATTTCGATGACCACCGTCTCGAGTACGTTGCCCAGCGCTTCGCCCTGCTCAACGGCCTTCATGACCTCGGCTGAGTCTTGCGTAGAGTGAAAGTCGATCGACTGCGACATGACGTGGCTGAAAGCAGCGTTGGTCAATTGCTTGTACGAGAACTGCTTGATGGGTATCTTGGACAGCTCTTGAATGAAGATCAATCCCGACTCGCTGTTAAGGTGGTCCAAGAGAAGGAAGATGAGGAGTTCTCGGATAGGTATCGATCCGTGCGTGACTTTGTCTGCAATCACGCCAAGGACGTATGGAATGGCGACTTGCAGGACGCGCTGCATCGCAATCGTAACGAGGCAGATAAGCAGACAGATCTGAACTTTGACGTCTCGTTTGGGTATGACGTAAGGCAGAAAGATGGTAAAGTCTTTCAGGTAGCCAAGCCAGCCTCCACTTTGGCGCAACCGCTCGGCACGAGTCTCTTTCACGTCCTCGTCCTCGTCCTCGTCCCCATCGCTATTATCATCGCTATCCTCGTCATCGATCTTCAGGCAATCTTCCTCCATTCGCGGAGGAAATGCTGCTTCGAGTAGTGGGTCGGTGTCCTTGGAGCCCTGGCCGGGCGACCTCCAGAATTGGAGTGGCATTGTTCGGAGTCGAAAGGTTGTCGTGCGACTCAATGTGCGATCACCGACCGCCTCTTGTATCTTTACCTACAAGGGCCATGATAGCGGCGAGGAATGAGTGACGATGAGTCACGCCAGCCTCTCATTCATTGTGTCTGGACGCGACGCGCATAGAACGGCTTCGCATAGACCAATCCAATCGTTGGTGTCGTTTGTCGGTAGTATTGTCAAGCGCTGCGCACAAGGAAAGTGCGCCCTTTCAATCGCGCGACCTTTGGGGGCGCACAGCCACGCCGCCGGTTCTCATGGTGGCTTTAGGGCACCTCTGACGCGATTAGCTTGTGACTCAGGCCGTGGCGCAAGCACAGTCCGTGAAGTGGTGTTCTTCGAAACACGCGAATCAACGTCAGAAGCGGACCGACTGCGAGCTGCCGGACATCGCAAAGCCCGGAGCCGCGGCGAACTGGCGTATAGAAAAGGGCGTCGCAAGTGGCTGGCCCGCTCGCCTGCTGTGGTCTAGTCTGCCGCGGCCGGACCCTCCGATCCGCGTGCAGTTGCGAAAGCTCCACAACGTTATTCTCTAACACAACCTCTAACACACCCTTCTATTCTCTACGCGCATCGTGTAGCGCAATTCTTACGCCTCTAACGCGCACGGCAAATCCGTTCTTAAATACAGCCCGGGCTCTAAACTTAATAAGCGGCTTAAACACAACTGTAAGCGGCACAATAGCTAATAACGCCTGCCTTAAGGTTCGCGATAACGCGCGGCGCTTCGAGCTCTATAAAGTTTACGCCTAGACGCTCGCGCGTATCTTAAATAGCCGCGACAACTATATTATAGCCTCTATTACAATAGTATAATAAACCTATCTAAAGCAAACGTATACAAATAGATATAGTAAGTAAGCTAGGTTAGAAATAATATAAAGCTTATCTATTATATTAGTACTTTAAAAGTAATAGAAAGGTATTATAGAATATACTTTAAGAATACTCTTAGTTATTAAGTAGAAATCTAAATCTTAAGTAGTAATACTTATAGCTTAAAAAGCTACTAATTCTAAAAAAGTAAGAACTATTACTAGTACTCTAAAGAATATATAACTAAATCTTTTATCTACTCTTAGAAGTATAGTATTAAGTAAGCTAAAGCTTAGAGCTTTAGCGCTACTATCTTTAAAATAGTTAAAGCTTCTAAATCTTTTAAACTTATAAAATAGCTATTCTAATACTTTATAAAAAGATTATAATACTAAATACTTTATAAAAAAACTTTATAAAAGAATTATAATCTAATTATATATACTTATTAGCTTATAACTAATAAAGTAATATATTCTAAAGCTTTATAGTTAAGATATATATACTAAAATTTCTTTTAGTAAAAGTATACTTTTTCTATTCTATAAGTTACTACTTTTAGAAATCTAAAGATATATTAAAAATATAAGTAGCTTAAATCTAATACTAAATATAATACTAGTTAAATAATTTATAAGTTTTTATAGTACTTATAAGAATAAAACTAATCTCTTACTAGTTATCTTATCTTATCTTATCTTACTACTTTACTAAGAAGCTTTACTAAGTTACTTTATTATTACTATATTAATTACTTTTTATATAACTATATTACTATTACTTACTAATACTTTTATAAATAGCTTAGAGTTTATCTAAATAGCTATTCTAAAAGATATTCTAGTAGCTATTATATAGAAATTTATTTATTTAATATTTAAAGTCTACTCTACTAATACTATTAAAGCTTCTATTATAGCTTCTATTATAGCTTCTATTATAGCTTTTATTATAGCTTCTATTAATACTATATTATAAATATATATATCTAAAGTAAAGCTTTTTATTATTTTCTTTACTAGCTTTAATTTTAAAAAACTAGTTATTAATATATATAGATTCTTTAGTAAAACTAAAGACTTAATTTATCTAAACTAAACTAGTATCTATTCTTTTACTACTATTCTAGCTACTAAGCTATTATTATTATTATTACTTATTTTTAATATTTATATCTACTTTTTTATATATAAAGTAAAGTAAACTATAAATCTAGATTTAGCTTTATATAATCTTATAAATAAAGCTATAAATTTATAGTATAAAGCTTTAAATCTAATACTTAATAAAACTAAAAGAAAATAAAATAAAAAAGAAAAAGTATTTATAAATAGTTTTTTAAGTACTAAGATAGTTAAGTAGATATTAGCTATAATAGACGTTTTTTATAGTAGAAATATCTTCTAAGAAATAAGCTTTAGATAGTTATTATATTAATATTATTAAAGAATAGAAATAAAGTTATAGTTATAGTTAATAAAAAATAAATATAGCTAGTTCTATTAGAGTACTATTATACCTATCTAAGAGAATATCTTAGAGCTACTAAATCTAAGTAATTTTTAGTAGAGGTAATAAGTACTAATAAGAAATAGAGAGTAGCTCTAAAGTAGTAGCTCTAAAGCTTTTAAACTTTACTACTAAAGAGTTTAGATAAAATCTAAGTAGGCTACTTTATATAAAATAACTATATAAATTTAATACTTTACTTAGCTTATTAATAGCTACTTATATTATAAAGTTATAGAGTTAAGAAGTTTTAGACTAAATTTTAAAGTTTTTTATATAATTACTATACTTACTACTAGTATAGTCTATATATAGCTAGAATTTAGTACTTATAAATAAATTTTAATATCTATAGCTAAATTTTAAACTTAAAGTAAAGCTAAAATTAAATACTTATAGTTAGAATTAGTTACTAAATTAAGTACTTAAAATAGACGCTTTTATAGCTAGAATTTAGTACTTCTATAGCTAGAAAAAAGTACTTTTATAGCTAATTTTATTACTTATAGCTAAATTTTAATATCTATATATATTTACAAAACGTAATCTATAGTAGATTACCTTAGATAATCTACTAACTTTAGTAATCTACAAAACTAGCTAGTAATCTACAAAACTTTTATTATAATATAGTAGCTAAGTATTAAAAGTATCTAACTAAAAGAAAATATAAGCTAATCTATTATAGTTTAGTATAGTTATTAAGTATTTTAGTTAAATTCTAAGAAAATCTAGTAGTAATCTACAAAACTAGCTAGTAATCTACAAAACTTTTATTATAATATAGTAGCTAAGTACTAAAAGTATCTAACTAAAAAAAAATATAAGCTAACCTATTATAGTTTAGTATAGTTATTAAATATTTAAGTTAAAATTTAAGAAAATCTAGTAGTAATCTATAAAATTAGCTAGTAATCTACAAAACTTTTATTATAATATAGTAGTAAAGTAGTAAAAGTATATAACTAAAAAAATATATAAGCTAACTTAATATAGTATAGTATAGTAATTAAGTATTTTAGTTAAATTCTAAGAAATTCTAGTAGTAATCTATAAAACTAGCTAGTAATCTACAAAACTTTCTTATAATATAGTAGCTAAGTACTAAAAGTATCTAACTAAATAAAGATATAAGCTAACTTAATATAGTATAGTATAGTTATCTAGTAAAATAGTTAGATTTATATAAAATAAACTAATAATATATAAAACTAATATTATATTTAACTAGGTATTTTAATTTTACTACTAATAGAGATTAAAAATAAGCTAACTTCTTATAGCTTAGTAGAGTAATCTACTAGATTACTTAGAATATAAGAGAATAAAGTAGTAATCTATAAAACTAATATTATAATATACTAACTTTATATATTTTATTACTAATTATATATAAAAATAAGCTAGCTTCTTTTAGCTTAGTATAGTAATCTACTAAATTAGTTAAAGTTATAGAAAATAAAGTAGTAATATATAAAACTAATATTATAATTTACTAACTATATATATTTTATTACTAACTAAAAGTAATAATAACCTAACTATATTAGAATATATAATACCTAGTAGAAACTAAGCGTAGAATAGTCTATACGTAATAAATTTAGTTTAGAAACTAAGTATAGTAATCTAAGAACTAAGTATACTAGTTTAAGAACTAAGTATGCTAGCTTAAGAGCTAAGTATACTAGCTTAAGAACTAAGTATACTAGCTTAAGAACTAAAGGTAGAGGTTTAAGAACTAAGTATACTAGTTTAAGAACTAGAGGTAAGAGTATAAGAATATAAGAAACTAAGAATCTATTTAGAGTCTAAGAACTAAGTAAAGCTATCTAAGAACTATACTAATCTTAGTACCTAATTTTAGATAAAATAGCTTTTACGTAAATAAGTAGTAAGCGTACTACTAAAGAGTAACTATTACTCTTACTTAATTCTTCTTTTCTTTTCTAGTACTACTATATTTTATATATTACTCTTCTACTAATACTACTCTTTTATCTTCTTTTATATATTTAGTTCTTTACTTTTCTATTCTTTACTTTAATCTTTTTCTAAGTTACTAACTTTAGTAACTATACCTCTTATCTAGCTATTAGAAAAGTATAGAATACTATATATTATAAATGTATACTTACTTTATTAAGAGCGCTAATAGCTTTATTATTAAGTCTATTCTATTTAACTACTTTAGAAATCTAAAGTTATCTAGTAGAGGCTTTTCTTATACGTAGGCAAGTAGTAATAGCTCTATCTAGAGTACTATTACCTAAGTATTCTTATTATATATAGTAACTATTTCTATCTATTATTATATATAAGTTTATATTAACTTCTTTTTAATAAAGATATCTAGATTATTAGAATTTAGTAGTAAGCTAAATACCTCTAGGCTTTCTATTCTTATCTTTATTATATTCTATCTTTACCTATAATCTAGTTTTTCTCTAAACTTCTTCTAGAGTACTAGATCTAACTTCTTTATTAGCTCTCTACTAAGTTTCTTTAACTATATACTTATAAAAAGTACTTTTTTAGTAAGTAAGTTATACTAAACTCTGCGCTATTTTATACTATATTTTTATAATCTAATTTTTACGTCTAAACGCTTAAACCTTTTATAAAAAAGGTCTAACTTATACTATTTT